TGTCCGGAAGTGACAGACGAGGCACTTGTCGACATCCACTATAACAGTGAGTACAAGATGTCCGAGAAGTTCCTAGAGCGGATACAGCGATTTGAGGAGCTTCATGGTGCGGCGCCTGCGGTGGATTCGCAACGGGACGAGGGGGGGGAGGGAGAGATGAGGGACGCGAGGGAGCAGATCAACGTGGACGACGACGACGAGGAGGTTGCACAGGCGGGGTCGTCAAGGAGGGAGCGAGGGAAGGGCGTTGTCAGCGAGCCGGGGGGGCAGCAGGGCCAGTACTTTGCATCGGCGCACGTGTCGGTTCGTGTACGGGCAGGTGTGGATACGCCTGAGGCAAGTGCGTCTGCGGGGAAGAGGAAGGAGAGAGAGGAGGGGGACAGACCGACGGCAGCAGCCGCAGCACAGAAGAGGATGAGACAGGACACGATCACGGAGTCGTTCACTTCAAAGTGGCAAATGGAGTTCAAGAAGAAGTGGTTGCGGTTTGTGTACAATCAGCGCCTGGCGTTCAACGTCTTCCGGAGCGAGCCATGGTTGGACGTCGTCCGGCACTTCAGGGACTTGCCGGGGCCAGTGAAGGTGTTGTGGCCTTCAGAGAATGAGATCGCGGACATAGAGACCATTGTCCACACGGCGGACGATGTGGGAGCTGATCTCGTGGAGGTCAGGGCTCCTTTCTATGTCACGGGGGCCACCATTATGTCAGATGGAAGGAAGTCACGCGATGCTAGACCCATCGTTAACTTCCTTGCCGGCGGGTCGCGTGGGGTGATGCTCGTCCGGACGATGAATAGGGAGGGTGAGCGGGATCGGGCGCCTGATGTGTTGGCGCGGTGGATCAAGGTGTTCGATGACTTCCCCCCTAAGTGGGTGAACGCCATCTGCACCGACTCCGCCTCGAAATACGTCGTCGCGGCGAACATGCTCCAGGGGCCCCAGAAGAGGCCGGAGCATCGACGGATCACGTGGCTCCCATGCGCAGTGCATGTCTGCAACAAGATGTTGTCAGACATTGGCTGTTCGGGCACGTGGTCCAAGGACATCATCGTGAGGGGGAGAGCGATGGTGCGATTCATTAAGGAGCACGGCGCCACTCTCCATATCTTCTGGGGGGAGAGCAGTCAGATGGGCCTCATCTATCCTTGCGAGACGCGTTTCGCATCCGTGTTCGCGATGGTGGAGCGTTTGCTGGCAGTGAGGTCAGCTTTGGAGAGGACGGTGGATGGCGATAGTTGGGGTATGGTCCCTTGGGACCATTCAGTTCGTCATTTGGCTAGGTGGGTCAGGTCGCAGGTGCGACATGGCAATTGGTGGGATTCCATGGGCATCTTGCTCCGTATCATGGAGCCTGTGTACGATCTGCTGCGCAGGTTGGACCGTGGAGGGCTGCACATGTCGCGGGTGGTTGAGTGGACGCAGGATCTGGCCCGCCAGGTGGCAGAGGAGGTTTGTGCACTTCTGCCAGATCTTGCACACTACATTGTGCAGAGGGTGCAGGCTCGATGCGCTCACATGCTGGAGCCGGCGCACGCCGCTGCTCACCTCCTTTGTCCCAGCCGTCGGGACTTGCGGTACTTCGAGGGCGTGGTCAGCGACTACGACGCGAGCTCGGTGAGGGAGGCAGAAACTTACATCTTGTCGCAGACAGGGTTCAGTGTGACGAGCCGCGACTACGAGACCGCATGTGCACAGTTGCGCGGCTTCCACACACGGAGGGGGACGATTGCTTGTGGGGGGAGAGACAGAGACAGAGAYGCACAGAGGTGCAGGGGCGATGCGGAGACGTACGAGTCCGGGTGTTGGTGGTCGAGGTACGGGCAGTGCGCCCCGCAGTTGCAGGTTATCGCTCTTCGTGTGATGTACATGTGGACGTGCTCCTCTCCTGCGAAGAGGAATTGGGCCGTCCACGAGGGTGTACAAACGAAGAAGCGTAACCGGCTTGAGTTCGAGAAGGTCGCGAAGTTGGTTGAGATCTCAGCCAACGTGTGGACTCTAAATGAGTCGTTGTTGGACGTGGAGGGAGGTATCGGGATTCGCCCCTCGTGGAAAAGGACGGACGAGAGTAGGACGCGGGAGGAGGTCGAGGATCAGAGACGTTCATGGCTGCGAGACCCATGTGGGTCCAGAGCTCCTCCGGGTGATGTGGGCGATGTTTTCGGGACTCGAGCCGCCACATTGCACCCGTACCCTCGAGACGACAGTGATTCCGAGGGTGACGAGGATGAGCCGGCGGGCCCCGCTAGCACCACTCCTGCGGCGGATGAGCGTGATGAGTGGAGCGACCCAAAGGACGTCCGTAGACGGAGTGGCGGAGATGACCTTTTCATTCAGGTTGATTTGGAGGAGGAGTCTAGGGGTCGTCATGGGAGCCCTTTAGAGCGTCCGAGGCCTACGTCCACCGTTTCGCTTCCCGCTGAGCGGGAGACAGATCCTGGGTCTGCACCTTCGAGGGGGGCAGAGTCGGGTATTGGCCATCGTCCTCTGGGTCGCTCTGGCACGACATCATCCACAACTCTTCCCACTTCGACGGAGCAGCTTCATCAACGGCCAGCCGTTGCAGATCGATTGCAGAGATTGGTGAAGGGCCCGAGACAGCGATTGGAGGACAGATTGGAGGGCGGTCCTGTGCCGGTGCAGGGTGACGGCGGAGACAGACAGGGGTTGGTTGCTGGAGATGGTGGTGCGCTGGCCGGAGGTGGAGGCGGTGTCGAGGCTGATGCGCCGGTTGAGGGGATACCGATGGGCGGCGGAGGCAGTTTCAGTGAGTTTGGCGATATGGGTATGCCCCCGGGAGAGAGCGTGGGTCTGGCCCTAGGAGAGAGCGAGTCCCGTGGGGACATCAGTGTGGGTATACAGGACTTATTGGGACAGATCAGCTTCGCGGACCCAAGTAGTTTCTCCCCTTCCATTCGCGCAGAGGTGATGTTGGGGGCAGAGGGGGATGAGGGCCGGACACCCCCTGGAGAGACATCTGCACAGAGGCTGGATAGGCTTGATAGTCGTCGAGCGTGCCTCATGGCACAGAGGGACCCCAGGACGCAGGAGCTCGCCCGTCTTGCGGCCGAGGACCGACAGAGGCAGCTGGGGACATTTACGCCGGCGTCTGTTGACGTGGGGCCAGCTGCCCACACGGATACTCCGGCAGAGGTTCACGACACGACGCATCGGGAGGCAGCTTCGACAGAGGTTTCGAGTACGGGAGTGGATGTCCAGCAGGGGACGCACGAGAGCGGGTTGGCACCGACTGAGGAGCCACGTTCGGAGCCGGCGCAGCATCCTGCCGTGGAGCGGAGGCCAGAGGAGACATTGCAGGAGGTTGCGGGCGTGCCTCTGCCTGCGGGTTCAGTCGAGGGTGCCGTGCATATGTCCCCGGGTCTGGAGGACATACCGACGGGGCAGTCAATGGGCGTTGATGATATTCGCCCATCGGCACAGGCGGAGGGGATAGCGCCGACCACCGGGGGGGGACGGGGCCGTAGCGGGGACTGTTGGTGCTGGCGGGTCGGGGGTGCCGTCCGCGGCCGATCCGATGTCCACGTCTGGCGGGGGAGACCCTGCACAGGTGGACAGGCGTGACGCGGACGGACAGGAGATGCCACAGACTTTGGTGGTTCGCACTGCTGTGGGGCCAGTGGGGCCACATCAGGCACCGTTTTTGAAGGGTTTTAGGCGTCCTGCACATGGCGGTGGCCCGGTCGAGGAGCGACGTGTAGGCAGGGGCGCGTGCATACCCCCGGTCCCTACTTTTGCGCCGTCTCGGACGAGGCCGGAGATTAGGCATGTGGCTACGCCTGGAGGCAGCCTCCCTTTTGGTTTTATGATCGCTGAGGAGTTGGAGGACCATGGCAGGAGGGATTTGACGGAGATCGACCAGCGCGTTTTGAGGTCAGTCCCGGAGGAGGGGAAGCTGCCTCACGTGCAGGACTTATCTTGGGGGCCAGCCAGCCCCAGCTTACCTTCTGGGTGTTCCGTCGCAGCGCCATCTGGCGGGGCTGCAGGGGGCTTACCTTCTGGAGGTTCCATCGCAGCGGCATCGGGCGGGGTCGCAGGGGACTTACCTTCTGGAGGTTCGGTCGCAGCGCCATCTAGAGGCGCCGCAGGCCCTTCGTCACCCTTGAGCGCAGCTCCGAGGGAGGGCGGCAGCCTCACCCCGAGGTCAGTTGCCCGTAGACGGAGAGACACTACCCAGCGTGCGCGGGAGTTGCTGGACACCATGTTGTTCCGTCGCACAGATCGACCATGGAGTGAGACGAGACGGATGACGACGGCGAGTGCCGGTCGTCAGATTGGTTTGAGAGGGGTTTCCACGAGCGCGAGACGTCGAGATGTTGTAGCTGCAGGGTTTGGCGGTAGAGGGGGTGGCGGCGGTGGCAGTGGTGGTGACGGTGACGACAGACGTGAGGGTGCAGGCGGTGCCACGACGAGCGCAGTGGATCCGCCGCGGACGTACGGTTTGAGAGAGGCGTCGATTATTTTGGAGGAGCCTGATGTTGTTACATGACTGAGGCAGACCCGACACGTGCCCTTAGATCGACGCCAGGAGGGGGAGACTTCAGGGACTGACGACGGCCTACCTATGGCACGCGAGTCACGCCGATGTGATGACCTAGCAGCAGCAGCCATCAGGACGGTGAGAGGCAGGARAGTCATTATGGACGACGATCCCGACGAGCTTCCCGTCACTCCCGAGCCTCCCGCTGGCGGATGCGGCGGCCAGCGTCAGAGAGATCGAGAACGCGGCAGGGGTCGGTCCCACGGAGGAGTTTCTCATCGGTCCCAGCGAGATCCGCGTGCGCACGACGATCGTTGACGGATTACGGACTTGCATTTTCGTGACTTTCTCAGTGTACTTTAGTTTGTTGTTATCCATGACAGACGTAGTGTCTCATGAGGTTGTATTACAGTCTACTTTGCAGTGGGTGCTTTTCTGCGCAGACGTAGTGTTTCGTAATGTTGTATTATAGTGTACTTTGCAGTAGGCACTTGTCTCCAGCTTGCTACTTCGGAGATTGTAGCTTTCCAGTATATTTTAGCGTGCTTTTTTGTCGGCATTTTCAGGTTGGTACTTCCCACAGACTGGTTGGGCTTCGACACGATGTGTCGAATTTTGGCTATTATCCATGCTATATTGGTTTGCGTTTTGCTTCGATCATTACATCTTGGCATTTGCGATGTTTCTGTTTTCAGACGACGAGTGTTTTGTGTGCTT